AGAATTGCATGAATTTAGTAAATAAGGGATGATTGAAATGAGAGTTTAAGGAAAATAGAATGGGAGAATTTAAGGAAACAGAAATAAGCGATAGCATTAGTGCTTGTTTCTTTTGCTGCTCGATTATAATTATCTGGCTTTATCGTTTTAGTCATAGTATCTTATGTCAGATTTAAACCTATCGAAAAATGACTTGGCAGATATTTGCTATAGTCTAGGTATATCATCGGAAGAAAATAAAACAGACCTTGTTTAAAGAATAAAGGAATACCCACATTATGAGGGTTGCAGAGAAAATGGTGAAATGTTAGGAAATCTAGAGACCACAGGAGAGAATGTGGTTGATATAGATTCAGTAGCTTCCGGTTATCATTCAGAAGCCTCATATATATCCGATTGCCAAGCGACTGACTCACCATTTCGACAGTGTCATTATCATACTTTATATCATTTGTGATTATCACGTACGTACTTATATGATGTTCAAATAATTAGCTGCACAAACCAGGAGCAGGGAAAAATGAAATTTAAACTTTACAATTGTGTTAGGCTCATTTATGTTATTAGATACTATTTCAGTTTGACAAATATATTTTGGCATAGAATTTTGATATGAAAGCTCTAAAATATCTCTACAATTTCTATATTAAAAATCAGTGCCGAAATAGTATCAACTGAGCTGAAATAGTTTCTACAAAGTGCAATCATGCCTTGAAGCATAATTATAACTTGTATAATAATTATTATTGTATAGTTTCTTATGATATGAATGTCCAATTTTTTTTCCATATTGTATATTTGAAATTAAATCGGACTTTTATCATCAGACAACTATACAATAACTATAAATTATAAGTTTAAAGCGTAATTGATTTATATCAACCTATTAAATAAATATAAACAACAAAATATTAGAATAATATTATTTAAATACATTAAATTTATGATGTAGACAAGTATTACATCGAGTGATGCAGGGCAATAACAAATTTTGCTTGTCTTTATTTAGCCCTAAACATATGCTTCAATGACCTCTTTATTGAAATTTGAATTTGCTAATAAGATGGGCACAGGTGCTCTTAACTAATCATAATTTGAGTATGACTTGTCTTCTCAATGTTTCACTAATTAAAGAATTATAACAAGCAAGTCTGAATTTTCTAATCACCATTAAAGGAAGCCAAAAGGATTTAAAAAGACCATTCAGACAAAAGACCTCATTATACACTATTTTGTAATGACGCTTACAAAAAAACTTTCACAAATAGAATTTCAATAAATAACTTTTTGCGTAATTATTTAATAAAATATTAATTTAGAAATCTACACAAGATTTTAAACAATGTGCTTTATCGCTAAATGTTCAATAATATATATGTCAGACACATGAAAAATATGGCGTGAAATAGTGAAAAATGCATCATACAGTAATTAATATAAATAAGACGTGTCATTGGATATAATTATACACATGGTAGCATAAATACCAAAATAGATACGACTATTTATAAAACTTTTGTTAAAAAAAAAAGTCACAAGTTGTATTGTTTTCTATTTAGATTCAATAAAAATACATAGCTTTTTCACATAGCATACAAACTTTACTAATTACTGTAATCATGAATGATTTTTTTTACTTAGATTCTGCGGATTCCTAGAATTTAAATAAAAAAAGTTTCATCAAATTTGGCTGGTTGTCAAGATATTTTCGTTCAAAGTCACGAAAATTTTTTCCTAGCTTAGATTTTTGATAGACGTTTGAAATTTTTGTGAAAATGTTTTATTGATTCTGAAAGAGGAATTACTGTTGAATCTTTACGAAGCTAAAATGTGGTCACTGCATGATGTCAATATAATGGTCATGATATGCCACGTCATGGTATTATCGTATCAACGGCCTAAAATTTATACTCTAATTTTGCTCAAATTTATATTCGAATTCTGCCTAAATTAACCTCCTAAATTTGCCAAAATTCATACTCTAATTCTGGCCAATTTATATTCTAATTTTATTCAAATTTATATTCTAATCTGCCAAAATTTATACCCTAATTCTGCCCAAATTTATATTTGAATTCTGCCTAAATTAAACTCTAAAATCTGCCAAATTTTATACTCCAAGTTTATATTCAAATTTATATTCTTGGACTAATTTTTTTAGCTATAATTACGATAGTATAAATTTTATTATTATGCTAATATAAAAACTACTCTAATTTAGAATAGCAGTCAATAGTTACTATACTAATTATATAATATATAAATATATATAATAGATACAGTATAACTTATTAAGTCAGCTTTGCCAACTCGTAAAAATGAATAGTAATCAAGTTGAATCCTCGAATGAAAATGGATCTAACAAAATTGTGGTTTACCTATATTGCATTTTTTGCATTTCTACTACCATTATTGAACTTCTTTTTCTCTGCAATTCAAGTTTAGAAACCTT